TGATTTCTAGTTTCCTATTTCAGGCGCTTTTATTGTGACAGTCCCGGCCGGCCCCGGTAGCGCGCAGCTCGGCAGCTTGACCACGGCTCTCCAGCTCGGAGCTCCGGCGGAGGGAGAGAGAGACAGAAACACCCACCGAGCCCGCCTCGTCCTGATATATCGAAGCTCCGCAGCCGGCGCCTCCTACACGGCTTGTCAGCGCTCCAACGGCCGCTAGCTGCTGGGCGGACCTGGGCCTCCTCACCGCGACATTCAGCCTCAAAGCAACAGAGTTGATTGTTGAGAAGAAGGAGAAGAAGAGAGAGACCGGGAGAATGGCCACGACAACCTGTACGCGATTCACGGACGAGTACCAGCTGTACGAGGAGCTGGGCAAGTGAGTATCTGTGGAGGGGCTGCTTCCAGGCTCAGGGTTCGGAGGGTTAGGGCCAGGACAGGGGGCTTCCAGGCAGAGCCGGGCCGAGCCGAGCCGCTCCGCAGGCCGGCCGTGCTGTGCGCGCCTGGCGGGGCGTGCGGGAGCTTTTTCGGGATGACAGCTCCGTAAGTCCGCTGCTGCCTCCCCGTCAGTCCGTCCAGCACCGACGCTGCTCCTCTCTGCATGTTCCTCGTGCTTGTTTCGGGATGTCAGCGAAAAGAAAAGTCGTAAAATGCAGCTGATGTGGATCAAACGTGCAGCTGAGCAGCAGCGTGTTGTTGGACCATCGGAACCGCATGGACGGTAGAAAGTGTGTTTCCCCCTTGACAGGGAACAAGGCTTCCTGGAACTACAGCTGCGAGCATTTCTAGAAGTCTTCTATGGTTGCACACGTGGACGTTGCAGCCTGTCATGGTTAGATACCTTCTTCTTCTTCAGAATTAATTAAAGTCATCTGCAAAGCTGGAAAGCTCAGATCTGCTCAGTCACCTGCATGGTCGAGGTCCTAAAAGACATTTTACTCTCCGCTTGGCTCCTTTGAGCTGCTTTACGGGCCTTTAAAGTTCTGCTTTGCTGCTCCTCAGCCTGTGTGAATGAGTCCAGCTCTTTGCTGTGGCACAAAACACAACATGAGACTTTGTGCAGCAGCTCTGCTCAGAAGTCCATGCTCTGGTCTTTTAATCTGGTGGCTTCAAACAGATGTTTTAATGGCTATTGCAGACAGAAATGTGGCTAAATTCTTAAACAAATATGTTCCTAGTTATTATCATTTTAGTTTCATGGTTTCTCATGTAACAGAAGTCAAACTCCTGCAGTTATGCCTCAGAAAGTTCTCATGTGGGGCCACAGAGACTGAAAACTAACGGTACAGTACCACAGAAACAGACCACGTTCAGTTATGTCACCTAACGCTGATGTGTGAGCACCACCAACAACGTAGAAGATAACGGTGGTGCTGCCGCCAGAGATGTACAGATCACCAGAGTCCCTTCTGAACGCCACCGATATGGCTGGTCCCTCCAGCTGCTGGAGAAAGTCGTGCATCATAACCGCCGTTGTTTCAGTACCGTGCACGCCACTGGCACGACAACCGCAACGACAAGACGTAGCAGAGTGCACAGCTGCTGTTGTGTTTCTTTGTGCTCTTTATGGGGCAGAAAGTGGCCGATTGTTGGCAAAAGACAAAAGACTTACCTCCAGAGAATGTCCTGCATAACCTTCAATAGCAGCTTTGTTGTGAGTGTTCTTATCTTCAGCTGCAGGCTGTGTGACAGCCAGAATGCAGGACTTTACATGTAAACGAATGTCTGTTATGTTCAAGCCAGACGAGGTCACACGACGTTGATTGAGCCTATTAGCACCGCTGACGTCTTGCTGTATCTTGCAGCTTCCTGGAGGTTTAAATCTGTGATGTGGTGACATGTCTGTGCCGGAGCTCCTTTGTCTCATTGACCAGCAATGACTGGCCTCTGACAGACCTCCAGATAGGAGCACAGCGTGATGCTGCTGCTGTAGCTTGTGCAGGTCTGCTTGGAAGACTCTTCAGCCTACGTGCGCAGGAGGTCGTGTCCACGTGTTCTGTGCATTCACACTACTGTTAAGCATGCGTACTACTGCCTGTGTAGCCAAGTTGCTGTAGAGGAGTTGGACCCTCGCATACTTGCAGATGCTGAAAGTGTAATACTGGCCTTATGAGCGCCGGGTCTGCAAGAGCCTGAGGGTCTGTGTGATGCACATTTTATCATCCGCCCACGTCCGTCAGACCATTCCACTGGTGTCTCCATGCAGCCCAGAATTAGTGCCCATGTGTCAGCTAGAAGAGCAGCAGTGTGCATGCGTGGAATATGTTGAGCTATTGTGCATGTATGCAACGTAGGTGTCCCAGTGGACAGTCAGGGACGATAGCAACAAACACATGGGTGTGTCTTCACAGGAGTACCATCAGATGTATAGCCACACCAAAGACTGTGTATCAAAGATAGACTTGGCGGCCATGATATGAGCCATTGGTTTGGACCTAACAGGCGAGCGGTAGCTCTGACTGGGAGTTGTGGACAGTATGCTGCCCTTAAGCACACACTGCTTACGTCTACTTTACTCTACATGGGAGAACAGTTTTCAAAATGAACACCGTGCCGTATTCAGAAAGTCTTCAAACGAGCATTAGACACCATAAACTCATTAGAAAACAAATTACGGAAGCGGTAGGGTCACTCTCTCATCGACTTCTGTACAGTCAAACTGCTATTTGTAACCAGAGGAGTCGCCCCCTGCTGGTTGTTGCAAAGGATTCAGGTTAAAGGCACGTACATGTTAGCTTTACTGTTTGGACCTGGAGGCCATGTCCAAAAACACTCTGGCTTGTTTGTATTTCTTTTAACCAGTCAGAATCATGTGGGGCAGCCCTCAGCCCAGGACGCAGCAATACTGCCCCTGCAAAATAGTGCTCCTGCAAAATAGTGCCCCTGCAAAATAGTGCTCCTGCAAAATAGTGCCCCTGCAAAATAGTGCCCCTGCAAAATAGTGCCCCTGCAAAATAGTGCCCCTGCAAAATAGTGCCCCTGCAAAATAATGCCCCTGCAAAATAGTGCCCCTGCAAAATAGTGCCCCTGCAAAGCTTGTTTGTAGACGAGCACTTTGATAAAATGGCCACATAAGAACTCAGCTGTCCCGCCTTACTGCATGATCCAGACCTTTTGCCATTTTCAGTTTGCACGTTGTGGTTTGGAGGTTGTTTCCTGCAGGGAAGGCGATTTTGAAAACGATAACACACAGATAGTGGAGGGGAGGAGAATAAACGGGCACCAGAATTTCTACTGAATCTGGACAGAACCTAGATGGGGCCCTGGTAGGGGGACTAGCCCTGTTGAGAGCATTTATCCTGGTGTGTCTCTGCCATTACGCTGCCTGAAGGCGACTTTGTGATGGAGGGTCTGTGCCACTGTGTTGAGTTTCTGCATCTGCAGACACCAGTGGCTGAACCGGAGCAGATTATATTTGAGTTGTAGAAAAAAGGAAGTTTCTTCAAAACAGAATTCAGGAGTGAAAGCGGCCGACTGGATGCTGTCGCCAAGCAGCAGTGCTGGTGTGAACTGAACAGCTGTGACTGCAGCCTAAATGGTTGAAGTTCAGTGTTTTGAGACTGGTGTGACCTCTGAAGCCGCGGTCACAATATTCAGATGCTTAAACTCTCTTTTTGAATTTCACATCGTTTTCTGTGCATTTTGGGCGTTAGCAGATGTTGGTGGCAGCTCGTCTGTCCTCGCAGGCCGCCAGTGTGTGACGCTTGATGGAAGGATCCACCAGAAGCCTTCATCTGTAGTGGAAACACTCACTGAGCTTGAAAAGTTGTGACGTGGAGGACTTCTTACAGAGAAACAAGTTGGAATCAGCTCCGTTTGCACATATGAGTTATTTGCAGAAAGCGCTGGCCCAGCAATAGATGAAGATGTGATTTAGCATAATGCATGAGCATACTGAGCACCAGGATCCATTAGGCGCCAGTGGACTGAGCTTTTTTGTCGTGAAACTGGGTCATCATTTCAGTTCTCTGCAGCTGTAGAGCCGGCCACGTTCTTCAGAGCCAGCAGGTCCAGGAGTGAGCGTCGACGCTCTGCCGACTTTTCTGGGGGTAAAGCATGAACAGTGGGCCGTCTGCCAGCCCGACTCCTCCAGAACTGACAGGGATCACACTGGTTTATGATGCTCATCCCTGCCGTGCACGTTTCAGTCCATAAGTAATGAATATTGTTCGCTGGGATCTACCTTCAGCATAGCCCTCGTCCTGTGGGATTTCCTGCTCCGGTCCTGGCTTCTGATTAAAGCACACACAGCTGATCCAATGTGTCGGCTTTGCTGAGTCCACCTCAGCCAGAGACCACCGGCTTTGAAGCTGAGAGCGACTCGCGTGCACGGCCTGCGCTCAAACTGTCCGTCACAGCCCATCTCCTGATCCGGCCGGTCCGCTCAGGCTTGGGTTAGGGTTCGGGTTAGGGTCAGGTGTTGAACGGCCCGGCGTCCTCACGGTGGCGCTCTCTGTGACTCTGTAGTACTGATCCGTTGTCTGAGGAGAGCTCGTTTTCGTGCGCCGGCTCTCTGCTGTCATGTCAGCCCAGCTCAGACACCACCAAGTCCACCTGCATACGCCTGCATTCTGGTGTGGACCTTCAAATTTCACTTTTGAAATGTTTCTAGAATTGCCTGTCAGAAGCGTTCGATATCACCGCCGGTCTTCTGGAGAATGTGTTCTCCGATTGTGGGATCTGCTGTTTTATGAGTGGAAGCTATAAAATCTCTGCTCATGCAAATCATTCCTTCAGTTTCTCGTTAACTAGACGAGAGTGGAGACGAGACTCTGGGGAGGGTTTTACAACAACAGCCCCACATGTGTGAGCTTTCTGCTAACGGGAACTCGGTACCAGGAAGAGAGCTCGTGAAAGACATTTCATCTTTCTTTTTCAACACATTGTCCTGCTTGTCTCAATGAGTCGTGAAGCTGTAGAGTTTAGATGTACACGTCCTCCAGAACATCATACAGGGACGCTGTGAGACTGTACCAGCACCAGGATCCACTGATCTGCCTCAGAACCGGGCTGCTGAAGGACCAGTTAGGCTTTTTTCTCTCAAAAATAATTTTAGCTCCATTTAAATCTCAACTTTCTGGATGTCAAACTAGACTGTGAAAAGCAGTGATTCATGCCTTGTTGCCCAGTTGGACTGTGTTAAAGCGTGTGTCACCCCGCCGTAGCGCTGTGGAGCTCGGTGTCGGTACCGTCGGTCTGCCCGTGTGTGTGTGTGGCTGGTGTCGCCCATGCACTGAGTTTCTTGCTTTTGGATCCAGAGCACATGGTCGCGGCACTGAGCGGGCGGTCCTGAGCCCTGACCACCTCTGACCTTGGTGGTTGTCTGTAGCTGTCTCAGTGTGGACGCGGACCAGCGGCACCAGTCCACTGTTCACCGTCATCGCTGGCAGACTGTGGCAGGTCCAACTAGCCACGGCTGGATAGGACTGGAAAGAGTTTGTCTGTGGACTTTTGAAGACAGATGCTGGTGTCCAGCATGTTCAGCTGTAACCCTGGTTTGGCCCAATCAGTTCCCACATCCTGTGTCTCCAGTCACATTTGAATTCATTCTATGTTTTGTGGATCTTCACGGCTACAGCGGCTCTGGGACACAACAAAGTTCAGACGTGGCTACGAGACGTTTGATTCTCTGCCTGATGTGTGTTTACAGGCCGTAAGACCGATCCACTGTTTACCAGCCCAGTTTATCTCCGTCTTGCACGCCAACATATGTTGTGTAGAATATGCTGACTGTGTGAGGGCCACCTCCTGGGAGCTTGTTAGGCAGCCAGATCCAGGCAGATGCCCCACAGTGAGCACATGGGAGGGGACATCAGGACTGGGCTGTGTTTGACCTGCAGAAACGCTAGTTTCCCACAAACGGGTGTGAATTTACAAAACTTGAGCCACAGTCAATAAGTTGGGTTAGAAGGAAAACGTACTGCTGATCTGAAGCACTGAAGGTCCATATGGGCAAAACCAGTTTGTACTGTGTTTTGTGGTTGTTATGGACTCTGAGGTTTAGAGTAAAAGCGGTTCAGATATGGACAAGGTTGCTTCTGCCTTTCCTCCAGCTTTCAGTCACATCAGATCAGATCCAGGTTGTCATGGTGCTGTACACACAGCAGGACAGGCAGGATGACTGAGCGATAAGTTAATTAGCACGTTTTGCTGAATGAACGTCTGGGATCGACACTAAATGTTCACTCTCGCTGCCTCCTGTCCATTTGTTGAACATGGAGAACTTCTTCAGGTCCTGGTAGGTCTTCAGGGACACNTATTGCTTTTTTCAGTTTCTAGTTATTTGAGCAACTGTTTGTGTGAATTTTGTCTTTTCTTCAATGGAGGGACTGAATAACTGGACGACAGTAGAAAAGGACATGAGTGAGATGTAAACGTGTTGTTGTGGGGAATACCACAGCAGGATGGTTTCCTGTCAGACTGATGCTGAATGAACTCCTGTGATTGACAAACTGCTTTTATTTAGATAATAGAACAACTAAATGAAGAGATGTTTTACCTGGAGGTTGGAGGTTGGAGGTTGGTGAGCTTCTGTTCGGGGAATTTTGTCTCAGTGTCACTATCCTACATCATAAACACATAAAACAGGAAATTTTGCAGCACACGACACACATTCAACACACGCATGCATATTTATTGTGTCCTTAAAGCAAAAAGCGTCACTACAGTTTTCTAAGGCATTGCTCAGGGTGCTGCATGTTTGGCAGTTTTCTCTACAGGCTGCAGAACCGCCTGTGCAGCTCAACATCCGTCTACAGCAGAGATCTGCAGCCGTAGACGTGACTGCATCACACCTGACTCACATGAATGGATCATTAACAGACTGTTGACAACAAGCTGTTGGAGACACACCAGTGTGAGTCAGGTGTGTTGCAGGACGGAAACGTCTAAAACCTGCAGGACAGAAGCTCACGAGGCCCGGAGCTGGAGGTTCCTGGTCCACAGGTCTTCAGTCCTGTGCTCTATTCCGAGGTTTTATTGGAACTATGATTGTTTTTCTGGCTGGAGATGACACAACAGGCAACAAGAGGAGACGCTGTGTTTGGCATGTTAGCCGTAACTTCTGACCAGTTCTACACTTTTAATAACCTGTTTTGCTAAAAGTCAGTCCACAGTCTCTCGTCCTCTTCGTGACCAACAGCAGCGCTTTGTTTGCCGCCAAAGCAATCAAGCGCTTCTTATAGTTGCTAACAATCTTTCTGCATGTCTCCACTGAGATTTTATGTTTTTCTTCTGTGATGATCTCCAGGATTTTCAGTTCAGAAGTCTTCTCAGTTCCCTCCACAGCATCTTGACGGGGTTCAGGTCTAGAATCCAACTTGTAAACCAGTATCCATGGAGCTCAGCCATGTGCAGGGTCTGCTGGAGATGCTGGTACAGGACTGCTCACATTCATGGTTTCTACCACCCCCATCAGGCCAGGGGTCGCTTTGAGCCTCCTACCACGGCTTCTGAGCTTCTTCCTGGTCCTTTCTGCTGCTGCTCTGCACTGTGGACCCTGGTACCTGAAAACCCTCGGATGAGACCTGAGAGCCGTGTGAATGCACAGCTGCCTCTCATGGACCCTGATGGAGAGTTCCCTCTGCTCAGTGACTGCAGCCGTGACCTGGAGGTGACGGAGAGCTCCTGGATCAGCTGCAGTGTCAGGCCGCTCTGAAGCATGCAGGGAATGACCGGGACCGCTGGAGTGGTTCAGAATGCAACAGCTTCAAGGAAAACAGTCCAAATGGATCATGAGCCTCTGTAAGGCGACCACCTGGCCTCATAAACACTCACTATCAGGCGAAATGTGTCTCCTTAATGAAGAACAAACTGAAGTACTGTGTCTGCTGGACGCAGCTGCGCGGGAACGATTTGCCTCCGCAGTGCTTCATCTTCACGGTCCCGCTTGAATCCAGACGAACGCGCGGCGGCACGTTTCTGAAGCCACAAACGAGCGCTCTCAGATTTGCCCCTATTTGGAGATGAGGCACCGTGCAGGCGGGAGGTGTGTTCGGTTACGTTGTCGCGCCGCGCCGCAGCGCGCTGCGTCCGGCAGAGGGCGCCAGAGAGCGCATGCTCCGCCGCTGCAGCCGGAGCACGCGGACTGCGTCAAAGCAGCCAGACTGATCAGCACGAGACCCGACAATAGGTGGCTGTCTCCTTCAGCGTAAAACACCTGTCCGCAGGTGAAGGAAAAGAAACGAAGAAGGAAGCATCCAGGATGACGAAAGAGATAGAAAAGATTTTTAAAAAACCCTGAATGAATAAACAGCAGTCAAAGGCTTTACAGGAAAATCAAATCAATATATTTATATTTTAAAAACAGAAAATGTTTATTTTAAATTTAGAATAATTAAAAACAGCTGAAAAAGACAGAAGATGAAATGAAACTCTATTTTTTTCTCTTTTATTTTATGAATTCTACGTTACAACATAAAACTGATTCATTAGCGGCAAACCAAGGAACCCGGGTCCAACAGNCCTGCTGGTCTGGAGGGGTTAGCCTTTAGCCTAGCATGGATCCCGGCTCTCTTCCTTCTCCTTTGTTTACGTTCGTACCGTTAGTGCTTCCTTCTCTCTCGGGTAACTGCCGGCGTCGTCTCCGATTGGACTGTTGGTGCAGTGTGTCCACATCACAACCAATCGCTGCAATTCCAGCGCCGTTCACTGTCCTGACGGCCAGCAAAGTCTCCCGACTGTAGGTTTTGTGGAGTGAACGTCTGGGATGGACAAGACACTCAGAACGTTCACTTTTGTTGTCTCCTGAAGGGGGCGCTGTATCTATGCGCGCTGCCATCGCCATGGCAACACACAACCAATTCAGAGATAGTAGAAAAAGTGAGACCCATTTAAAAGCAACAGATAAGGACTGGGTGGGTTAATAAGGTCCGCTCTATGTGAACTTCCTGGGTTTACTTCCCTCCTGCTCTCTGTGCTCTGCTGTACACAGTTGTCATGTGCTTGTGTTTCTGCTGTCAGAGGATCAAACAGTGACTGTCTCCAGACTGCTGCTCGCTGCACACCAGGTAAAACGATGAGTCTGGCCATGCTTCAGCGTAAAATGGTCACTCACAGATAAAGTAAGAAGTGGTTGAAGATCGTGGTCAGCTGCTCTTTGCTAGTCAATCCTAGACACAGGGAGAGCTTTTCCTGAATGGCAGCAGCAGCAGCAGCTCAGTTACAGCGACACACACTGGAACAGTGATCAGGACACAAACGGTGAGTTACACGGTCCTGCTGCAGTGAACCAGCTGTTTACGGTGAACAGTACAGTCGCTGAAACACAAAACTGATTTCATCTGGTTTTCAAATACCCACCAGCTTGACTTTGGCATTTGACAGAGTTGTCCAGTGACAGCAAAGCTCAGTAAAGGTTTCTTCTGTCCTCTACAGGGGAGCGTTTTCAGTGGTGCGCCGATGTGTGAAGCTGTGCACAGGACAGGAGTACGCCGCTAAAATAATCAACACCAAAAAGTTATCTGCACGAGGTAAGCCCATTTCTATGGTTCATCCCAGGTTCTGCTAATTCCGTCAAAGCACGTGATGCAGGGACGTCTGTCAGCTTTGGCGCCGTGTGGTGGGTGGGTCGGACCTTCAGGCTGATGGCTGTGTTCCTCCATCACAGGCGTTGTGTGAATACGCTGTTGCCAGTGTGGGGCTGCACAACTCACACCGTTATTTAGATCAGTGTAGACATCGTGGTTTTTATCACAACCGTACATTCATTCAGGAAAAAACATTTTGATGACGTTTTAAATTGAATAAAGCAGTTCTTTGACTTCCATGTTGTATGACATTGTTGCTAATGTGCACATTTTTATATGAAAAACGGACTTAAAATATAAGGAATTAATGTCCTTGAGGCAACATATGAATAAATATATTTATATAAATATAATACAACTGCTGAACATCTGCTTATTGATGGAAACTGCAGTTTGCCAATGTTCCCTGAAGGCGTCGCGTGCAGGCGGGCTAGAAGCTCGCGCTCTCGTCTCCATCCAGGTGTTGTCGTGCAGCAGGTTGTGCGTCCATGCCCACAGTGTGCTGAGTGGAGCTTTGTCATGTTCACGCTGTGTACGTGGTTAATGTGTGAGTAGTTGTGCAGCCCGACCAGAACCAGGGACCTCCTCCTCCACAGACAGCATGTAGAAAACAAGCTGAGCAAAACGCATTGTTTGTAAGTTTCTCTGCAAAACTCCATCAACACCTTTGTGTCGATGCCGCTCCGCCCCGCTCACACAGCATGGGGCTGAATGTTGAGGCAGGTGGTGCTGCCTCCATGCATTGTGGGTATTATTATGGTATGGAGGACTCAGGGCTAAAATGTTGATGCAGTGTTTGCAGATGAAGCCCATGGATGGCAGGTGAAAGGACACGTGAGCGTCATGTGTCAGAGCACATTTTGAATGTTTAGTGGACGCTGGCAGCAGCACGACGTCCTCTGAACGTAGAGCCGGTTCTGACCACAGCACGAAGCCTAACTACGGAGAAGCACAACGTTCGGCAGCCTGTTGGAATTGAAGCGTTTGGCTGAACGATGTGTTGCTTTGAGTTATTCAGTAGACTGACAGCCCGTGTTTGGACCTGATGTACATTTAATCTTGGTGTGAAAATTTAAAGTAGCACAAAAGAAAGATTCCAGCAGAACGCTTTGTTGAGATGCTTTAGTTCATTCCTGTTTATTTCTGTGTTTATTTACCTGTAAAGCCCTTTGCGTTGCTCTATGTATGGAAGTAAATAAAGTTTGATTTGATTTCTGACCATCAGGTCGGGCTGTGGGCAGCACACAGCTCAGGACCACAGCGGTCACTACAGACCATCACAGCTAAAGCATTTCTAAGTCTAATTTACTGGGAACTGGTTCATAACCCCTAATTTACATCATGCTGACGTTGGACAACGGTTGCTGGGCCTCACCACAGCGTGACGGCTGATTTAGTGTTTTTGCTTAATGCTGAAACACGAGCTGTTGCTGCTTTGGTTTGAGAAGAGATCTGCTCAGGATTGGTTCGGCTGGACGGACAAACACCTCGAGGACGTCAGACTGGCCACGTTCACTTTCTGAGAGCGTGTAAAGGATGAATCAGGACAATAACCAGGTTTGGGGTCACAGCGCTCGATTTGGCCTCACATGGTGGAAATAATGATCTTTAACATCGTTCTCTTCTCTTCATCGTGCTGAAGCCGATATGATGAAACGTTTCATTGCTCCTGAATCACTGGTGGAGATATTGTGGCCACCGAAGCCTCCTGCCGCTGTGCCGAAGGTGAACCTGTTGTTTTCTGGGCGCTTTGCCATTAAATTCCTCCTTTCCTCCCTAGTATTGATTTCTTGTAATGCTGGTGGCAGGAAATTGAGTTCCTTCTCTGTCATTTAGTGACTGTAGCCCTTTAAAGCTTTGCTCTGTAGTGCTGTAGTCATGTTTAAAGCGCCCTAATGAGTGGCACATGCCACGCAGCCAACGGTTAGACCCAAAGTCAAGCTGAATGCCACGACCATGGAGACCGATGCAGCACCGCAGTGGTCGCTGTGGCTCTTCACACCAACACCTGCCCAGTGCAGATCTCCTGCTGCCCCGCAGCCTCGTAACTGGAGAGCCACTGCAGCGGCCTGCCAGGTGGCACACACACACACACAC